AAATGTGTTTGGCATCGGCGTACATAAAACAAGGAAAAATTCAATGAATTGATGCAATACATATCCTGTAAAGAGTCATATTTTACAATTCCTGATTTTTTTTAAGCGGTTCTTATATTTTTAAGTATACATTACATATTTACTTTTGATATTATAATACGATAACTATCTATCAAATGCCAATATTAAGAAAACAATCAATCGTCATTTGTAAATTATTTATTTGTTTGGAATTACAAACAACACCATGAAAATGAATCATCGCATTCGCGATCTTAACCGAGTATATTTGTTTTTTCAAACAAAACAATGTTCCTTGACCATGGAACCTATAAAGAAGAGAAGAACCAAATATACGCAATTTAGACGCGAAAAGATAGTTTTTTTTCCAATACGTAACAATAGCGAAAACCTAAGTACTCAAAACAACACCCTTTTAATGTTGAACATATTGAATACAACTAGATATATCTTTATGTACGGTATTAAATCACATTTTTATGTTGTATTTATACGTTTTTAAATTCAATGATTAGATTATCGTGACTGTAGGTCATGTAGATACATAAAAATATTAGCGGTTTTTTAAATTAAGGATTTTCTTCCCAAATATGTACCACGAGTTATTACTTCGCCTTTTAATTGAATGTTTCATTGCAAAGTTAAGAAACATGCGTAGTCTGGTAATTACACTTTATAATTAATTTATCACTTACCGTTCTAATTTATCACCTGAGAATTTGGAGTCATAAATTCTCTTAGTTGGCATTAAGTCGTATTCTTCTAAATCACGTTTATTTCCATTGTAAAACATTGGGAACATCCAACAGAACCAAAGTCTTGATAATAACGATGGGAGTTTTTTCTCAGATGGCATTTTCTTCTTATTGTTAATTCCATTTTTACTTTTGTTGCCTTCAGATTCGGTACCCATTTTGTTTGTTTAAAAAGTAAGTAATACCTAAACACTACAATGTTACAAAAAAAAATATGTGAACAAAGTTCTATGCACCTTATTATATCAATATCACAGGTAAAATTTATGTGTATTAGTGCGTGTAGTTTATAGAAAAAAGAATTTTTCACTATGAATTACGGCAGTAAATATTTATCACTAGCGCTACTGTCCCGAGTTGCGCTCACGCACCGCTCTAGTTTCAGACTGGTTGATACTAAAACCGAACTTGTAGTATGCTTCGTTAAATAGGGTTATAATAAATTTTATAGTACATAATGACTTCGTTAGAGATATCTAATCTATAAACCAGATATCTCGTTTTTCGTATATATTCGGCTGCATTCTATATCATAAACATTACATTATACATTTATATCATAAATTTATATTTCATGTGATGATAACGTGCAATAATAATATATAGCCTATAAATAAAACAATAAGAAAAAAAATGCTTTTGTAATATGTATTATCTGGGTAATTATTAAAATGTAAAACTGTTATCTATTATACGGATATGATGAAAATCTTATCACGCAAGACACACTTCCCTACCACAATTATTTATAAAAATCCAACGATCAATAGTTTTTTAAGGCGTAATAAACAAATTGTTTTTTATTCGGACAAACAAGAAAATTACATTGTAAATTTTTGATATGGTTTGATTTATAACAACAGCCAGCAACAACAACTGTAACAACAGCAAAATTAATATATGTATACTTTGTAGTGGTGTTTTTGCATATCGTCTTAGAGTGAATACCTCGTATGTGATTATCTTGTAATTTTTCAGAACGATGATAAAAATGTGTAAAATGTAATGAACGCAATAATGTTTGTAGTTAGCATTTTAATTAGTTAAATTGTACCACTTTCACATACTATATTATTTTAATAATATATTTGAGCAAGAAGTTTATAAGTTTTTCTTTAACAAAATTCAGTAAAAACGAACTATGTTAAAACGCATATGCGAGGTTTTCACTCTGTGATATATTTGTTTTTTCGAACAAACCACTTTTTCTTGGCTAATGACATTTTTAAATTAGGAAAAAAATAGTTTTATTTATTTTTGTTGAATATCAAGAATGTAAATAAGCAATGTGGGTATGTTATATTAGTAGGTACATTTTATGAAGTTTAGTAGCAGTAGAGCTCCTTGTCAGGGAAGTACTGCCACCTTAACTATTTCTGCCGCCAAGCAGTAATGTGAGCATTACTGCATTCCGGTTTTGAAGGGTGCTGGTGAAATTATATTAATGGACAGGCGTGTCATTTAACATCAGGTCGTGCGCCTTGGTCGTGCGCCTTGTCCCATCACTTATTATCATAAAAAAAGTTTGTGTAAGAATGTATTTGGTTCAATTTATACACTGTTTTGCTGCTTTACTGCCCCTCACCTAATTCCTACGTAATAATATATATATATACTATAAATATACTGCATATTTGTAAAATAATAACAACTTCGCAGGACTATAATACTAACATCTTAAACAACTATTTTTGTTCCATAACTTTTATCATCAGAATATACATAATTCATCAGATTTTACTTTCAGAAAAAAAAAAAATTGTTCAAATAGATCGCTAGAAACAGGGATAACTCTGTGCGGAAGAAGAAAAGGCACACGAGAGGCCTTGCTAAACAACTTACAACCAAATTTTATTATATTGTTTTATTTTAAAGTGGCTTAAGTCATTGGAATATGACAAGACTGAAAATCTTTTGCCCCCCACGTTATAATCAAAGTATTGCACATACACATACTCACCCAAATATAAATATTACACGCAGAAGCACATTTTCGCAACTTCTCTATTAGTTTTTCTTTTACTACACACATTACTGGTGACCTGTAATACAGGCATTTTTATGCCTATCTAAGGCACCAGTCTCTCGCAAGTAAGGTTTAATGTTAAAACTCACTAGTCAGTAAACATTTATATAATTTACCTTGTATGTTGAGAGAAACATAAATAAATAATAACAATAATTAATATTTAAATACAGATTTAAAAAGTGTCAGATAGTACAACAAAAAATTAAAAGTTTATATTTGGTAAATTTATTGTGTTTTGTCATAGTCAAAATTCATGGAAATAAAGTAACCCTTAACCCTTAACGGTATGAACTTTAAAAGAGTAACTTCTTTTAAATATCTAGGTCGTTACGTTACCGACGACCTGGACAATGCCGACATTGAAAGAGAGCGTAGATAATATCTTGATCCATAGGTTTCCCCGGTGTACCGAAGAAGTAAAAGTAACGCTTTTTAAAGCTTACTGTCAAAGTTTCTAAACCGGGAGCCTATGGGTTGACTACACCAAACTGCCGCCGGAGACCCTACGTGTACAGTATAATAATATTTTTAGGTTGATGTTGGGACTGCCTCGTTTCTGCAGTGCATCGGGGATGCTTGCAGCGTATGAGACGGATGGTTTTGCCGCCATCCTCCGGAAAAAGTCAGCATCCCTGATGCGCAGAGTGCGGGACAACCCTAACAGCATCTTACAAATTGTAGCTGGTAGGATTACCTCTCCTATGTGGTAACGCTACATGAGGAAAGTGATTTGAAAAAGATAAAGTGAAACATTGCACTTTTCTTTTTATTATTATTATTACTAACAAATTACGGAACTCGTTCTCTGAAATAAAAAAAAATATTTTCACTTATTTTATAAAGTTATTGTCTAAGATGTTAGTAATACAGTACTACGAGGTTGTTGGTATTTCACAACTGTATATTGCATTTTTAAAATCGCTGACGTAATATAGCAACTGTATACATATATTTTTTTATTTAGACATTTATTTCCGGCCACATGACCCATATAATATATACCTTAAGGACTAACATATATACAATATAATACGACAATAAAATAAACTAAACAACTAATCTACACGTCTAGTAGTCTAGGTAACCGGCCGCGGAACCGCCGATATATAACACCCTTCGGCCAAAACTCTTCCTTCATGAAGGCCGACAGATGTTCGGTCGGCACCCTGACCACAAACTAATTAAAATTTACGTTGTGGCGGGACTCCAACCGCTCGACCCTCAAGGTGGTTATCAAGTCAAGGTCTTAGGTTTAGGCGATAGCTACAGATTTGAAATGAAACTATTTTTCGTGTATATTAGTTGGCCAGTTTAACCTTGGCCATGCGATCTGTAAATAGATTTAGTTTCGAAAAATTAGTTTCATTTTCAACTTCTTTACTCATTTCATAACAATCCCATACATATCTTGCACGTGTTCAAACATGTAAAAGATATTTAGACTGGTTTTTCGACGATTATTAACTGTAATCAATATTATTACTTAGATAAGTTTATTGTTATAAATATTTTAGAAACCTAAGTCATTTTCAATTATTAAACGTGTTTTTAAATATCTACATACGTTCAAAACTATTAACCATAAATTTGAGTTTCCATTTACAAATGTTACCATTATATATATTACCTAAAATATAAATTGAAAATTTATCGGAGGCAGCCATAGTGGAGGCAGCAGTAATTATTGGCTAACTTTTTAGTACTTAGTATTCCGAATAAAGAACACATTTTTTTTTAACTATCCGTCAGCATCATTCTATTTAATTAAGCCTCTCCTTAGATTAAACCCGTGTTCAGTTGTGTGACGTACAAAATAAAATAAACAAAATAAAATAGTTTATTTGACATGCAATACAAAGAAAAGAATATGCAAATTAATAATAATAATAATGTTTTATATAGGCATAATGGAAACACAACTTAGCAGTCGAACGTTTATTAACGGACTGGCGAATCAAAGCAAATACAAAAATACCCTCTTATAAGTATTTACTATTATGCCTACATCACAAATAATAATAACAAAAATACGTCAAATGGGTCTATGACTCATCTACAGACGACAATGAAGAACATTGTTCTCGCTAATATTCAGCAACAGTCAGGAACACACAAAAATATAATATTAATTATGTAGCACACACATGGGCATAAGTAACGAATAATTAAATTCCAAATTATTAAAAATCAGTACAACAACACACAAGCCACGAATTATAAGAAACCTGCATCCCGTGATTGCTTGTCAAATAGCCTTACGAGCATTTACGTTTGAATGTCCGTTACGATATAATGTATAAAGGGTTGATGATGAAATATTAGTTTTTCTGAAACTTTAAGAATGCTAAAACCAAAAACATCAATATATGTACAAGAACATTCACAGATGTTTCAAACAAAACATTATCAATAGTGATAGTGTTTTGTTTTAATGTTGAATTAGTTGTAGTTGTAGGTACCGTACTACCGTGGACAGACGCGACAGTCTATACTTGTTGGGAATGAGTTAGGCAGGCAGATAATATTGAGATAGTATTATCGTCATTATTACAGAACAAAACTAAAACCGTTTAATCGCGTACCTGTGAAAGGTTATATATTCGTACTGAATGAATGAATGAAATATTCTTTAATGCACATTAAAATTACAATGACAACACAGAACAGTACCGTAAGTATCACAGAGGAAGCCAATGTACAACAGGCGGCCTTTTGCTAAGTAGCAATTTCTTCCAGCCAACCTTAGGATAGAAATTTAAGGTTGGAAAGGGATTGAATATCTTATAATAAGAGCGTTTTTAATAAATACACTACTCATCAATAAAGTGAACATATAAATAATAATAATAAATACATATATTATTAGAATGTATACATAAATATTAATATATAATAATAAATGCTCAAATGTGCATAATATTTTCGTATTGCAAAAAAGATGCATAAGGGTATTATTTAATATTAAACCAACCGATTCATGTAAACCCTACTTTGTTAAACACAAAATATTAACCCTAGCTTCCATTCATTCATTCTTGAGAGTTGTAAGTTTGTCAGGAAGCATATGTACTTGTACTCCCCAATCAAAACAGAAATAAAGAGAAATAACAGAAACCTGCATAAATTGAAACTTCCCGCAACCAC